CGGCGCACCCCGGCACGCGCGTCCCGCCGGCACTCGGCGTACTCACACGGAGCTCCCACAGCACCGGGGTCCCGCACGACCACGCACACAGCGCACGGGCTCTGTGCAGAGCCACACACCCAATCGCAGTCCTGTCTGCACCGTGACCGTGAAGCGAGGGGCCAGGGCTCCAGTGCTTACAGAACCCCAGAGGCCTCCCCGGTCTAAAGCACTTCCACGGCCCTGCTGGGCTGTGGGGCCGCTGGCACCCTCCGTGTGGGAGCACTGCCTGGGAGCACTCGATCCTGATCCCAGCCGGGCCTCTGGCCTGCTCCTGACCTGGGCGAGTGACCAAGTGCTTGTCCTCTTGGGCCTCGCTGTCCCCAGATAGACTGCCAGCTCTGGCACCTGGCAGCCCCTGCGTGGGCAACAAAGGACAGAGGTCACGGCCACCTTCTCAGAGATCCTACCATCCTACATGAAGTCTCACTGAAGAACACGGGAGCCAGGGGCCCCATGTTTCCCAAAGGGTGTTCCTCCAGAGGAGGGGCTGAATCCAGAAATGCTTGGGAGTAGTTCTGTGGTCAAAATCAAGTAAGTTTGAGAAACGCTGCGTCCATACTCCCCCCTTCCCCCTTGGGAAACTCTCGGTCACTTACCATGATAAGGTCTATACCCATATCTACTGGCACATGCAATACTGTCTCTCTGCGCATTAGAAATTGCCAGGGGTGCCAGCTGGGAGGGGGGAACTAGGAGGAGCCAAATCCTAGCCCTGCCCCTTCGGTGAGGTCATCGTGCTGGGTGGGCCTGAGAGTGGAGACAATAAACCAGTTAAATAAATGACTTTATGTAAAGTGCTTGGCACAGAGTTGGCGCTCAATGACAACAATAGCCAACGGTTTTGAGCGCTTATTATGTATGGAACTTATTATGTACAACTGTTTTCCAGAATATATAGCTCCTTAAATCAACAAACCCATTTGTTGGGGTTTGTGGGACTTCTCCTATTAGCCCCATTTTCCAGATGAGGAAACAGCTAAGATACATGGAGCCTCATGGGCAATATTGTTGGTGCTGAGCTAAGCCTGGAGGGGTGGGGGTCTGCCCTGCCCTGCCCTGTAGGAGCCTCCTGCCACCGGCCAACACAGTCGCCTTCCCAGTCTCTTGGAGCAACGCTGTTTGGTGCCCCGGACTAACCACCTCAGAGTAAACTGCTTGCAGCGGTAGGAATAGGGAATCTTCAACTCTGCCCAGGGGCATTAAAAACTAAAACTCAGGAAGAGGCAAGACAGAGAAGGGCGGTCCAGCAGAAAGAAGAGCCAGTGCAAAGGCCCAGGGGTGGGAAATCTCACCTTATGTTCCCAAAGGGCCCTTCATTCCTCTCGCTTGCTCAAACTTGCACCATTCCAAGCCATCAGTCCCGCTCACCAAAGTCCCCATGACTCAGAACCCTCAGGGGTAGAGATGAGGTGAGTGGGCGGTCCTGCCCAGAAGGCTGGTGAATAATCATCCCACTGGCTTTGCAGAGGGAGCTCTGACCCTGTGCTGGATTCTGAACTCATTACATCTCACGCAAGCCCAGAGGGGAGGCCCGTCAGGTAAGGTTATGGGCAGACCGCCCGGTCCCAACCAGGAAACTGTTGACTTCAACAAGCTCTTGCGAGAATGAGCAGCCTCCGTGTGGACAAGGAAACCAGGTTGAAATCCCTACTCTGCTCCTCGTTTGTTACTGGACTTTGGGGAGCTGGAACCTCCTTTCTTGACTTAATCTCCCCCACCCGTGCAGTGGGGCGGGCCTGAACAAAATGAAACTGCGGCACGGCACAGGCTCTGGAGCCAGACTGCCTGCATTCAAAGCCCTTTCCTGGTGCCTCAGTCTCCTTATCTGTAAAATGGGGAGGATAATGGCACCAATCAGATAGGGCTATTCTGAGGATGAAAGGAGTTAACACACACAGTGCCCTGCGTGTAAGAAGCGTTCAGCATAGCACTGGCTGTTGCAATGTGCAAGGGCTCTGTCTGCTGGGAAGGCCCACGACCCGCAGATCCTGCCGCCCCACCTCCACGTTCATCCTGGCTTCAGTGCCGGCACACTTGGACCCCAAAGGAACCCCTGCCCTAGTCTGTCTGGAATGCTCCTCCCTCCCTTTTTCTCATGACTGGCCCCTCTATGCCCTTGAGTTCTCTGCTCACATGTTCCCTCCTCAGAGAGGTTTCCCTGTCTGCCCTGTGGCAAGACCCTCCCATTATTTCTCTGTCTCTCCCTCCTACTGTTGCCCGTTAGGGCTCTCATGAAAATCTGTCAGTTCTTCAAGGCATCTGTCCACATCCATCCCTAATAGAATGTAAGCCCCTAAGGGCAAATGTGTGTCCACCTCGGCACCCCTGCCCCCGTAGAGCCCCGCTCGGTGCCGGGTACACAGCTAATACAGCAGCAATATGGGGAGAACAAATGAACGAGCAAATGAATAATATGTATTAGGGTCCCGCGCATCTGACACCCTGAGTAAGCTCCCAGAGCTCAGAAATGACAGGACCCCAGTGCCTAGGGCAATAATAACACTCCCACTCCCCAACGCTGTAGAATGCTTCTTGTGTGCTGGACTCATTCTGAGGGCTTTCCACAGATGATCCTCACGACAGACCTGGGAAGTGGTCACTATTACCACCCCATTTCATGGATGAGGAAACTGAGGCTGCAAGCTAAGTAACTTGCCCAAGGGGACCCAGCTGGGAAGTGGGAGATCTGGGAATTTAATGCAGACACAATCTACTTTTGGAGTCAACTTGCTTTTTTTTTCTTTTTTTTTTTTTAATAGGCTTTATTTTTTTTAGAGCAGTTTCAGGTTCACAGTAAAACTGACTGGAAGGTACAGAGATTTCCCATATACCTCCTGCCTCCCCCATTATCACCATCAGCTTGCTCGTCAGCACTGCCCAAAACTGCAGACAGGCAGGCTTCCTGGAGGAGGCAGGGCAGAAGCTGAGCCTGGGAGATTGGAAGAGATTTCTGCACGCAGACCGGGGAACTCGCTTGCTCCTGCAGGAGGGAACCGAGTGTACCTGGGTGCAGCTGGAGCGAGTGGAGTGGAGAGGGCCCAGAGGAAGCCCTGGGGAAGGAAGTCACTGGGTGTTCTAGTTGCCTATTGGTGCATATCAACCCAGCCCAAACACAGCAACATGAAACACAACCACCAGTTTATTTGGCTTTGTGACTCTGCAGCGGGGTAGCTGGTCTCTGTTCACGTGGCATCTGTTGGGACACGTGAAAGGGCAGTGCAGGCTGGGCAGCCGGGGCTCCTCAGGCACCTCTCTCTTTCTGCGGGCTCACTGCATGGTCTGTCTCCAGGGCATGGTGGCATTGGGACAGCCAGCTTCCTTACACAGCAGTTTCAAAGACACACGTCAGAAAGAGAGTCAGGGGAAGCCATCCCACTTTATGACCTAGCCCTGGAAGTCAGCCAGGGTCACTTCTGTCACCCTCCACTGGTCAAAGCAGTCATAAGCTTGCTCAGGTTTTGGGAGAGGGGGGCGGGGACAGGGCATAGACGGCCCCTCTAGATGGAGGAGTGGCAGCGTTCTGCTAGACATTTGGGGGAAATTTATTCCATCACTGCAGATGACTGGGGCTGGATCGAGGTGTCAGCCAGGAAGCCCGTGTACCATAGATTCAGTCTCCGTGTCCTGGGTGGAGGTGACCTTCTGCCTCAAGCCTTCATTTAAAGCTTGGCAAATAGTTTTACTCAGGTATAAAACACAGTAAGGTGCACAGATCTTAAGCGTGAGCTCAGTCGATTTCTACTTATGTGTACACCCGGACGATCACCCCCCCAATCAAGGTACTGAGTGTTCCCCATGCCAAGTCAAGACCCCCTCCAGAGAAAATTACTCTTCTGTCCTCGATCCCCATGGACTGAGTTTCAGCAATTTTGTTCTTCACATGAAGGGACTCATACAGCGCGTGCTCTTTTGTCTCTGGAGTCTTTCATGCACCCTGCGTTAGTGAGATTCTTTCATGCCGGGTACATGTGTTTGTAGATTGTCTGTTCTCAGTCCTGAGTGGTGCTCTCTTATGTGACCGTACTGTGGGGTGGGCATCTGGGTAGTTCCTGTTGGGGTTCACCACTGCTGTGAACATTCAGGAGCATTCTGATAAACATATCCGGGCGTTTCTGTTGGATTCATCTTCAAGAGTAGGCTGGCCCGGTCACGGGTCACCCGTATTGGGCCTCGGTGATCTGCTGGGCCAACAGCCTTGCCCATGCCAGCCCCATTTTACCCTCCCGCCAGCGCTGGGTGCCTTCCACATCCTCAGCAGCCCATGCTGAGATAAGTTTAATTTTAGCCAACTTCTTGGAGGTGAAGTGGAAACCACTTTTTCGAGTGAGGTCTCCCTCCCGGCCACCGTTTCTAAGACAAATGAAAGGCGATGTGAAGTGAAAGTGAACGCTATGGAACATGGTGTCGTTGCTGGACTTGGCTTTGCTCTGTGTTACGTGTTGCTAACTTTATTGGGGTGATTCTGTATGGTGAGATGAGAAATAATAAACATAAGGCATGTCTGAGCCCTTCCTAGAACGGTTCTCAGTAAGGACAAGCAGCCACCTAGGAGACAGAACTAAAGCAATGACCTCAGAAATGGGGAAGCCGTGGGGACCGAGGCGAGCACGAAATCCACGTCACTGTAGAATTAAAACTAAACAAGGGAAGAAGTTAGGGTGGAAAAAAAAAACCCACAAAATGTAAATGTTATAAACTCCAACAAAGCAAAAATAATCTAAGCAATAATAACAGAGAAGTGGGAAGAAGGGGAGGTGGGAGAAAGCAGAGAGGGAATCCATCTTCAACTTCAAAGAATCCATTCATTCCGATTAAATTGAAATATGCAGGGTTTTTTTATTTTACTCCAAGTGAAAGATAAGATTGTGAAACTAGATACAAATAACCAACCCAACTATGTGCTACTTACAAGAGACACGATTTAAATATAAGGACACAGAAAGGTTGAAAAGGATAGAAAGACATACCACACAGGGCGCCTGGGTGGCTCTGTTGTTTGAGCGTCTGACTCTTGGTTTCGGCTCAGGTCATGATTCCAGGGTCATGAATTCGAGCCCCGCGTCAGGCTCCACGCTCAGCAGAGTCTGCTTGAGTTTCTCTCTCTCCCTCTCCCTCTGCCCTTCCCCCTGCTCATGCTCTCTCTCTCCATCTCATAAATAAATCTTTTAAAAAAAGAAAGACATACCACACAAACGATAACCAATCGAGTCTGCTGCAGCTGTCCCAGAGTAGACTTTAAGATAAGAAGCATTACTAGAAATAAAAGGGACATTTCAATCGGGAAGATATCAATCATCCCAAATGTGTATGCACTGAATGGCAGAGCTTCAAAATACAAGCAAAACTTAATGGAACTGGGGAGCCCGGCTGGCTCAGTTGGTGGATGGAGCATGCGACTCTTGATCTCGGGGTTGTGAGTTCAAGCCCCACGCTGGGTGTAGAGATTACTAAAAAATAAATAAATAAACTTAAGAAGTAAAATTATTTTTTTAAAAAGATGCTCATCATATGTCATTAGGGAATTGTACATTAAAACAATCATGAGATTACACACCAATTAGAATGGCCAAAATCCAAAATACTGACAACACCAAATGCTGACGAGGCTGTGGAACAACAGGAATGCTCATCCGCAGCTGGTGGGAATGCAAGATGGTACAGCCGCTCGGGAAGACAGTTTGGCAATTTCTAACAAAATTAAACATCCTTTTACTATACGATCCAGCTATCACACTCCTTGGTCTTTACCCAGAGGAACTGAAAACTTAAGGTCACACAAAAACCTACACGTGGATATTTGTGGCAACTTTATTCACAACTGCCAAAACTCGGAAGCAACCAAAATGTCCATCAGGTGAATGAATAAATAAACTGTGGCATACCCAGGCAATGGACTATTCTTCATAGCCAAAACGAAACGAGCTATCAAGCCATGAAAAACATGGAAGAACCTCGAATGTATATTACTGAGAGAAGCCAATATGGAAAGACTACATATAGTATGATTCTAACCCTGTGACATTCTGGAAAAAAGCAAAACTATGGAGACGGCAAAAAGATCAGCGGTTTCCAGGGGTGGGAGGGGAGGGATGAATAGATGGAGCACAGAGGATTTTTAGGACAGTGGGACTATTCTGTATGGTACTATAATGGTGGATACATGTCATTTCAAATTCATCCAAGCCCATAAAACGTACAACACCAAGAGTGAACCTAATGTAAACTATGGACTTTGGGCAATAATACGTCAATGTAGTTTCATTGATTGATAAAACAGGCTGTTGATAGTGGGGGGAGCTATGTGTGCAAGGGATATATGGAAACCCTCTGAACTTTCCACTCAGTTTTGCTGTGAACCTAAAACATAAAATCTATGCTCCATCTATAGGAACATCAAAAACATCAACTTCCTAGGAATACAGGTTTCCCCCACTATGCACAAGTGGAGTGTT